TCCTCCCGCCCTCTAACTCCTGGGAATCAAACTCGGATTGTCTGGCTCGGAGCCTTTACCCGCTGAACCATCTCATCAGAACAGAGTGTTTTGTTTTGTTTTGCTTTGCTTTGCTTTGAACTTAACCTCCTCCAAAATTTGTTCCTCTTTCCCAAATGCCTGATTTCACCCTTCCAGATGTGAAAGACCCAGATATCAGACCCTTCCCTTATTGCGGGTGACCCTGATCGGACACCCCTTTGGGGAGGGGGTGAGAAGAAGCAGCACCGACGACTCAGGCACCGAGAGTCAACAGAACGTGCTACATTAAGGAAGTTAGGCCTGCCTTTATACCCCTTCCCAAGGTCGTGTTGGCTCAGGCAGCTGACTCTGCCGCGCTGTGTTTTCCTCATTGGTGTCTCCGGTCAGGTGTCTCTTCCTCAGCAGTCTCTGGGCACAGAGGCAGGCATGGCTCAGGGAGAAAGTGCCTGCCGCACATGGGCATGTTATGAGGGCTGGCCTGGGCGGGCACCAGGGGCGGGGCAACTGTGACTTGGGTAGGCTGGCCACAGTTTCTCCTACAATCCCTGTCCCTCACTCTCATGATAGTACTAACAACTTGACAGGATCCAGATACAAACCTCTAGGAATGTCTGTGAGGATGGCTCTAAAGGTCAGTTAATTGGGGTGAGAAAATCCACTGTAAATGTGGTTAGTGCCAAACCTGGACTGGAATCCTGAACTGCATGAAAAGAGGAGAATCAGAGCTGAGCACCAGCACTCATCTATCTCTGCTTCCTGACTGTGTGACCAGACACCTCTGTCTCATAAGCCATGCCTTCCCCTCCACGATGGATCCTAACCTCACGACATCTCATAAGCCATGCCTTCCCCTCCGCGATGGATCCTAACCTCACGACATGATCCAAAATAAACCCTTCTTCCATTAAACTTATTTTGTCAAGTTCTTTGTCACAGCAAAGAAAACAGTAACTAACACAGCTCTTGGCTGTAACTAATACAGCAATAGTAACAGTGTGTATTGAGTGTGTCTCCTCTCCCAGGGTCTACATTCACAACTTTTCGAGACTGGTCTATCTTGTCCCTCATGTTAGCTCCATTGATTATTTGCATTCTAAACAACAGGAAACTGAAGATTAGAAGAGTTAATAGCTATGACCAAAGTCGAACAGAAAGTTAATAGATAATAGGCATTCTAGCCAGGAGATCCATCCCCAGGCCTGAGTCAAAGCTGCCACTGATCCTGACGGTGACTTATTTCAAGATTTCACTACTCACTGCCTGAACCAAACCAATCTAAGAGACTTCTAGCCAATCCTCTCCCAGACCCAAGGAGAAAGAAGCAGACTTATCACACACCCCTAACAGAAGGCAATGTCCCAATTCCCAGTAATAGAGGCTTTGATTTTTTTGTCAGTATTTTCACCAACTTTTGAAGTGTTTATATAAATGGTTTCATTATTAATAAATACTTGGGAGTCAGATATTGGGTAAAAGCCTAAGAGATCAATAAAGCAGTCAGTGGAGCAACGGCCAGCCAACCCTTTTTCTCCATGCTTCCCAGCTGGAAATGGTCCCATGAATATCTCAAAGCCCCTCCCTACTCTTTCCTGTGCCTCTCTATAGTACTAATCCTGAGTCCTCCAAAATCTCTATGGCTAATTCCAGTCAACTTGTCATTGATTATGCCCCCTGATTCAAGGTTAATGGAAATTGCTATGAGAACTACTTTCTTTGGGATTGGATTTGAGGGAATTCATACCAGTTAATCTAAATGTAACCAAAAGGTGGTCAAGATGCTTAGGGAAGAACCTAGTATTGTTGTTTTGTTTTGTTTTGGTTTGGTTTGGTTTTTGGTTTTTCGAGATAAGGTCTCTCTGTATTGTCTTGGAGCCTGTCCTGGAACTCCCTTGGTAGACCAGGCTGGCCTTGAACTCACAGAGATCCGCATGCCTCTGCCTCCCAAGTGCTGGGATTAAAGGCGTGCGCCACCAACGCGAACAGATTATTGTCAAACTGCCTTCTATATATTTATACTTATACCCACTGACTATTGTTGCTCCCAACCTTAGTCAGAGAAATTCCTTGTTGTGTGAGGAATAATCAATGCCGAGACTCATAACCTGTCAAAATTCTCAGGGTACATGACTACTGAGTGCTGAGGCCTGTATAAGACGTCTGTGTCACCCTTTCCAAGGCTGGGAGGACAGCATGGGAGAAGGAGACAGAAAGGATGTTAAGAACCCATAGACAGTAGATATGGAGCTATAAAACCCTGGACATACCAATAGCCTCCGAAACAATACAGAGAAATCCTGTCTCGTAAAAACCAAAAAAAAAAAAAAAAAAAAAAACCCTGGACATGACACACTCATTGCACTCGTGAACTCACAGAAGCTGCATTGTCTGTGCAAGGCCCTCAACACTCCCTCACAGAAGAGGGGGAGGCTCCAGAGGATAGAGGAGTCATCTTCTTTAGTTAGTGTAGCCAGTTATTAATAAATAACCCCAATCCATGCTCATGTAAACAGTCTTAATTAAACTCAGTAAGTCACAAAAACTAAAAGAATGAAAAACATGGGAGTAGGATGGCAAACTGTGAGGGAGAAGGAGGTTCCTCATGAGTACTAGGAGGATGACGATGGAGGATGTATGTGATCAAAACCCATTATACATGTGTGAAACTGACAAAAATAAATAAAATAAAATTTAAAGCTATTCTATGAGCCAAGATTTCTATGTAGTCTGAAGAACTATTAAACCTACTGGTACCTGGATTCCACTACACTCTTACACACACACACACACACACACACACACACACACACACACACACATAGTGATCTCACAGAGCTAGGTGCAGAACAGGCATTTTCTAAAGCTCCTCCAGGGATTTAAGAAACAGCCTGCAGCTGAAAGCCACCAGGTGGTTGCCATGGTGTAATTTAGTGCTTTTTTTTTAGTGTATGTGTAGCTGTGTGTCCAGAGGACACAGGCGTCCTCCCCAGGAACAGCATCTACCTTGGCTTTGGGGTTTTGTTGTTGGCCTTCATTTGTTTGTTTACTTGTTCACCGTTTTTAAGACAAGTTCTCCCTGTGTAGTCCAGGCCGGCCTTGAACATGGAGATTTGCCTGCTCTGGGATTAAAGTCATGTAACATCACATTCAGTTTATCGGCTGCCCTTGAGGCAAGGTCTCTATCGGCCGGATCTCAGAAGACAAGCTAGACTAGGCAGTAAGCGCTTTCTCCACCCTCCCAATACTAGGTTTAAGATGCACACCACCACATCCAGAATTTGGTTTAAGTAAAACAGTTTGAGTTAATAAATTCCAGTACTAAGTTGTTGTGGGGTTTTTTCCCAGGCAACTAATGGTTTTTGAGGGACAATTAGCTTTCCCTAGAGATGATGAGTCTCTAATTGTTTACCCAGTACAAGGGGGTCAGCCCTGAAACCATATGTACACAAACAGCACAAGAGAGGCTCAGAAGGTTGTATCTATATATCTGTGGATGCTTATACCCACATCAGCATTTTTACAGAGGTCCTGGGAATTGAACCCAGGTCTTCATGCTTGCATAGTAAGTGCTTTATCAACCGAGCCATCTCCCCAGACCCCAGGAAAGCTTTGAAGCCAAAGCAATGCCCCATCTCTAGAATTCCTAAGATTCTGACTTATCTGGAAAGGACCCCTAACAGTCTGAGTTTCAGCAATGGTGTGGGTGAATCTGATTGGTAGCTGGACTTGAGACTCCGTTAGTGCCGCCCCTGAGCAGTGTTGTTCCATATTACTGCTTTTAAGAGCTGCTTCATCCTCATCACCCACTAACATACAACCCCAACAGTGGGTTACTTTTGTTTTCTTTTCCTTCTGCTGTACCATGACCTTGACGTGCATCCAAGGACAACACCAAGAGAGGGTTTTAACCTAATGTGACTTCCCTAAATAACACCAGGGTGTTCCAAGTGAGGGAACTAAAAGCCCACCCCAAAGGGTGAGAAATTTTGCAGAAATCCACTAGAAATCAATTCCCCTTTTTCTGGAGGATAGATTGCAAAATAATGTCACTTTTACACATGTTGTCACCACTCCCAATCCATGGAATAGTTACTACAGTATCTAGGCACCTTCCCAGTGTTCACCACTCTGGTGCCATCTCATCTTGAAAATATATGGAGAACGCATAACCATTATTCCTGTTTTGCAGAAGAAGAGACTGAAGCACCAAGTCCATCTGCTTGAGGTTACTAGCCAGAGACATCAGGAGACAGACCCTGTCCCAGTCCTTCTGCACCTAGTACTGTGGTGCCCCCTTCTGGCCTGGCACCCTCAAGGTAGCTCACAGAGACAACTTGCACTATGGTGCCCTGAAGGACATCGATGGTGGCATCACCAACAGCTTGGCATCACCGACAGAGGGCTGGACCACTATAGGGAGGGGCAACAGATAGCAATAATCTCTCTGCTCCCAGACTTATGGTCCAGTCTAGAACCTCTGTCACCAACATTCCCTGGTTCCCAGCTCTGTGACATCACAGCCTCCTGTCCTCTCTGCCAGCAGCAAGTGAGTGAGGCTCAAAGGTAAGGCCCAAAAGTGGGAGGGGTGACCTTTCTGCCCTGAAGGGGTGGCAGCCCCCACCACCACCACACACACACTGTCACCCCTCCTGGTCCTCCACCCTCCGTCTCCCTCTCTGGTGTCCATGTTCCCGCCACAGATGATTGACCCTAAATGACTTCTCCAGCTCTAGAATTCCACGGGCTTCAGTGACCTTGGTTCATTTGGTCAGTGTGTTCTGGGGTCCCCAGAGACCTGAAGCTCACAACTCCTAGGGACAAGTCAGGGGCCTCTTCTTTGACTCATGCCCCCATCTAGAGGTGGCCCACAGTACTGCATGAAAGCCTTCTGTGTCCTGCACACGCCCTCAGCACTAGCAACGTTGTACATACTGAAGCTTCAGTGCACCAGAAAGCTGTGCTGGCCGCCTTCCATCACCCCTTTGCCATAGACATTATTTCCCGTTCTACAGATCAAAAAGCTGAGGCTATAGGGAGCTATACATTCTGTATATTTCCTATTGAGATCTGTAGCTCAGCTGGTAGAATGCTTGCTTGGCCTGCGTGAAGCCATGGGTACCATTCCAAGTACTACATAAACTAGGAATGGCGGTACCCACCTGAATCCCAGCATTTGGGTGGTAGAAGCAGAAGGATAAGAAATTCGAGGTCATTTCTGGCTATATAGAGAGTTCAAAGTCACCTTCGACTACATAAGACCCTGCCTCAGAAAAGGACTTATTTTCCAAATAACATTCTACTAAGTGTGCTGATGGTCTTCCTAAAATTCTGAAGAGGAGTAGACAGACAAAACTCCCTGTCATCAGTTGCCTGGTAAAGACTTGGAGAGTGCAACAGCATGCAGCTAGAGCTATAGTCCTTCAGACTGTGTAAGAAGACACAGCCCACTAGAGGTACGGGGAGTCGGCACAGAACGATTAACCCGGGTAGCATTGAAAAGACCGGTGCCCAGCCCGAGAGCCTTTGTGCCTCACCAACAAGTGAGCATTTGCACTGCCCCTCCAGACTGCACAGGCCTATTGGACAGGTAGGAAAGCACTGCGTCTCAGTCTCCTCCGGGGAGCACTGCCAGGTGGTAGTGGAAAGCTACCATGTCCTCTGACACAGTATACTCGCTCCTCCAATAGACGTTTGCTGCTAATAAGTCCCTTTACAAACAGACTCCACATTCTTAAAGAGGAGGAGTTTTAATCTCAGGAGTCGCCCATTTTGTTACAGCATCATTTCTAGGCAGCATTTCAGGGCTCTATGTCTTAGCCAGTGTTCTACTGCTGTGAAAAGACCATGACCACACTTCTATAAAGGAAAGTGTCTAACTGTGGCTGGCTTATGTTTCAGAGGTTTAATCCATTATCATTGTGGGGGAAGCATGGTGGCACACAGGCAGACAGGTGATGGAGAGGCAGCTGAGAATTCTACATCTTGATCCTCGAGCAGCAGGAAGAGAGAGACACTGGGCCTTGCTTGAGCATCTGAGACCTCAAAGTCCACCCCTAATGACACACTTTCTCCAAAAAGGCCATACCTATCCCAACAAGACCATGCCTTCTAGTATTGTCACTCTCTAATGACCAAACATTCAGATCTATAAACCTCTGGGGGCCATTCCTATTCAAACCACTATATCCTATATTAGATCTGAGCCATATACATATATATATATTATGCATATGTACATACATGTGTATATATGTACACACACATACATACAGTATACACTAAAATTCTTAGTTACCCCAGACTGTTCCTTGAAAGTGTTTTGATATATTGACTCATTTTCATTCCATTTGTGACTCTGAGTCCTTGTCCTCAGACATAACAAAAATTAGTTATTTGGATATCCTGGTCTTTTCCACCCTGTTTTTTAATACTTTTCCCCATCATTGATAGTCAAGTATTAGATACATATATCAGCACAGATATGAAATTCTGGGCAGTCAATGGCTAATCAAAGCTTGAATTAGGTGCAGTAACTTTCTACTGCTCTGAAATTTGAGAAAAGTCTAAATATTTGCACTCTGCCAACTCTTTTCTGGGGTTGAAATCCCTCCTCATTGAGCCCACCATCTGGCATAGAAATTTTAGGGTTGTTGTGTGTTATTGCTGAGCTATTATAGAAAAGAGGGCCCCTGAAGTGAGTGGGCAGCCACAGAGAGCTATAAAAAAGTGCAAGTGGGTATGAAGAAAACGTTGGGTGGGGAAAGAAAGAGGCAAAGAAAGTAGGTTTCAGACGCTTTGATCCTTTGCTTTCCTTGCCAGAGAATGCGGGTCAAGGAAGCCCTGTGTGGAGGATTTGGTACTTTGGGTTTTCTCCTCTCGTGTTTAGTGTCCCTCTTGAAATACCCTGGTTTTTACTATCCAAAGTTCATCATAGGCCAGTAGTTGGCACATGGCTTTAGTCTCAACACTAGGGAGGCAAAATCAGGAGAATCTCTATGAGTCCAAAGTCAAGCCTAGTCTATATAGCAAATCCCAAGCCAACCAGGGCTACACAGTGAGACCCTGTCTCAAAAACAAGAAGCAAAACCTAGTTCATAACAATAGCCATGATAATTCCACATCATGTGGTGAAATTTTCAGCATTTACTAAGTAAATGAGAATATACAGTGAGAGTATGAGTATGAAGGAGCTGTGTTTTCAGCTAAGTGTAATGCAGACAATGATGAACAGAAAAGATCATAGTGTAATCAGTTGAAAAGAACAGTATGCCTGTGCAAAGTCTTAAATAACTTAACCAAGTAGTATCTAAAAGAGGCCACGTCACTTCACTAAGTGACACAGATGTCACTAAGTGAAGTGACTATGTTTTGTGATTTAACAAGACTTAGTGTGTGCTCATGAGGGTTTCAGAGAGCCCAAGCCAAAGTGTCACAATCTCCCTTAAGCACACAGGCCACCAGGCTAGCACAAGTCCAACCAGGGATTCTTCAGGCTGACTTGGGATGGGTGCTGGTCAGACCTATGTGTTCCTGTCCTTGGAAAGCACTTCCATAGGTCACATGTGCAAAGCAACATGGAACAAAGCATCTGTAGAAATGAGGCGAGTGTCTGGATAAGTGAAGAAAATTGAAAGCAAAACAATTAGCAGAACATGAGAGGGATTAATGGCAAGAGTGTTTTCTAAAGGATGCATATCCAAAACACAAGATCTAACCATTTAACACCAGCTATTGCTCTGAATCGTGGAAAACAAATCCATGGAAGGGAGCTCAGCGAACTACACCAGAGCTCAGATCTTGTCAAAAATACAGGCAGCAGATCCAAAAAGATGATTGGAAATGGAGTAAATCTCACGACAAGGTGTCCCATCTGGTCCAAGGGCCCCACACTATAAAGACATGTGTGTCTGTCCTGTTGCATGTATCTCACCATGAGGATGAGATGTGCAAAAAGCTAAAAATCAAATGGGAGAATGGAAAGGCAGGTCCATGTTTGTTCAAATATTTGCAAACTACCAGGGTGTGTACTGAGGACAGGGGAAATAAGGATGGGGCATGAAGAACCTGTCACCCTGGCTTCAGGGAAGTAGGACACTTGCCCATCTTTGTTTTGTTCATTGCTGAATATCCAACACCAAACAGTACCTGGCACATAGTCGGTTCTCAAAATATATATTAAATAGGAAAACACTCAGGGCCTACTGTCCACATAGTTGACAACCAAACAGCCATTTACAGTACAGTGTTTTCAACGTGTGGTTATGTAGCAAAGGCCACGTTAGGCAATCACTATGCGGTAACAGACTGTGACATGAGACACGTGGCAGGCGGGGTGGGGAAGGGCCGTGAAAGCGCATCCTAAGGCTAAGAGGCAGCTTCCTGTAACTCCTGGGCTGAGTGATAGCATTTCATGAGCAAAGGCATGAGGCTGAGCCATCTCTGGCTTCAGAGAACATTGTGTGGATGGGTTCCTTAAGCAGAAGTGTGAATAGGGGAACTGCCCTTACAGACTCTCTGCCGGATACAGTGTGGTGAGAAAACCCAGAGACACACAGTCTGAAGAGATTTAACTTTGACTGTGTAACTCCAGCCTGAGGTGGGGGGAACAAGCCAAAGAGAAGGGTGGAGCAGTGGTCCAGGTAACAGTTACAGCGACTATGGCTTTGGTGAGGGGAAATGGCTACAGTTAGCAACAGACAGATTGAGAAGAGTCTGGGAAATCAAAGCCCAAAGATTGATGAGTGTCAGGGATTGTAGGAGGCTGACAGGTGCCTGGCTCTGGAGTCCACTTGAATGAGAGGACCACTGGTCAAAATGGGGAGCACCGACACACAGTAAATTTGAACAACGGTGGAAGGAAAACAGTTCTCACAAGTAAACACGCTATGATGCTCCTGAAACAAAGATTACTTCCCCTAGAGCTTACAACCCCAGGCAAAAATGAAGTGACGCTGGCTCATTCACTCAGCAATCATTTACGCACCTTCCACGTTATACGGTGTACCAGCGCTAAGAAAAGAGCAACGAACCAAGTCCATTATTCCGGGATGTGACCCACTGAAGGAAGGCATACTAAACACAGTGAGTCTGAGTCAGAAAGTGGCAGAAAAGTGGGAGCAGGGACTACAAGTAAAAGATTCAGTTTTCAATGTGGTAGACACAGGAACTGTTAGTGGGAAAACTAACATCCAAGCAAAAACTTGAGAGGAAGGACAATAAGAATAGCCTCCCAGCCGGGCGATGGTGGCACACGCCTTTAATCCCAGCACTCGGGAGGCAGAGGCAGGCGGATCTCTGTGAGTTTGAGGCCGGGCTGGACCGACAGCCTCCGAAACAATACAGAGAAACCCTGTCTCGTAAAAACCAAAAAAAAAAAAGAAAAGAAAAGAAAAGAAAAAGAATAGCCTTCCAGTCAGGGGGTGGTGGAAGCATAAATTCCTGAGCTGGGAGCTTGGTGGGTTTTAGCTACTGAAGCAGCCAAGTGCCTTGATGGAACTAGTTGAGAAGTAACCGGAGATGAAAGTGGATGATGGAACTTGTTGAGAAGTAACCTGAGGTGAAAGCAGATGATGGAACTAGTTGAGAAGTAACCTGAGGTGAAGGCAGATGATGGAACTAGTTGAGAAGTAACCTGAGGTGAAGGCAGATGATGGAACTTGTTGAGAAGTAACCTGAGGTGAAGGCAGATGATGGAACTAGTTGAGAAGTAACCTGAGGTGAAGGCAGAGAGCTTTTGAGATGGTTGAGCATCACAGGTAAGAACTTTGACCTTTTATCTGAGAAACAAAACCCACCAAAGACTTGTTATGGGGAGAGATTAAGGGGGAAGATTTTACATAAAGCTTCCACACAAGTCTTTTTTGTTGGTGGTTGCTGTTCATCCCTTTTTTAGAAATGTATTTGCAACCCAATCATGTTCTTATAAACTTTTAGCGTGTTTTAATAGCCTTAGTCTTCTGAGCACAAAGTCTTACCTTGTTTATTTGAAAATGCCTTTATTTCACCGTAAGTATTGAAAGATATGTCCAGCAATGTTCTGGGACTTTCATTTCAGTATTTCAAGATGTTATGTCACTGTCTTCTAGTTAGAACTGTTTCTGATGCAAAATACGTTGTCTTTTTTTTTTTCCTCTTCTGTGCAATTGAAACTTTGGATTTTTATTTTGATTGCTTTTGAAGTTTAAAGCATTTTTTATTACTTCCTTTAGTTTTTGGCTATTTGACTTTTACATGCTGAGGAGTAACTTTACATTTTTATGTTTGGTGAACTCTGAGGAGTTGGGTCAGTGTTCTTCCTCAAGCTTGGGGAGGAGGAGTCTGTCATCCGTGTTCCAGCTGCTTCCCCTGCCTCCTTGCCCACCCCTGCCCCAGCCAGAGCTGTACATGAAAAAGCTGTTGGCTGTGCAGCACCTCTCAGTTCATCGCTTTTAAACGATGCTTTCATTCTCTACTTCTGTGTGCGCAACTTCTATTGTCCTTCTTAGTCCCTCAGATCCACTGTCTTCTTCTGTTGAGTTTGTTATTGATCAATCTCTTCACATTTTTCTTTTGGATGCTGTTTTTGGGGTGTGTGTGTGTCTGTCTGTCTGTGTGTACAGATCAGAGGACAGCTTGTGGGAACTGGTTTTCTTCTTCCAGTTGAACTCAGACTATCAGTCTTGGAAGCAAGTACCTTTACCCACTGATTCATCTCTTGGCCCCCAACTTGTGTTTTAATGACTCGAATGTCTGCTATTGCAGGGTTGCTATTTCTTTCTTCAACACTATATTTCTTCGTCTATTATGTCCATTTCTTGCTACTACCAGAGATATTGAGCAAAAGTGTGACATATTAACATGGGAATCCTATCTTTTGCCCTAATGGTAAAAGAAACAGGGAGACCCGTTAGGTGACTACAGAAATAATTCATGCAAGAGATGTACAGCTAAGCCCAATACAGCAGTCAGAGAAGGAAACAAGTGCCCGAGGCAGGCGGCCTCCCATGGCGAATTGGGTGTGATGGCAGACACCTAACCAACAGTAAAGTAACGATTCCTTAAAGGGAAGTGTGACACTGATCACAAATGGGACATATCTAGAGGTTTAAGAAGTTGACATATAAAAGGAGTTCGGAACTAAAATAGACTTTATACTCTTGTACCATTAGCACAGGAAAGATCTTTGGAGGGATCACCCAGATTTACTTCCTCTTACCATTGAGGGGCTTATCCAAAGCCTATGGCAAATGTCCACACCCGGAATTAAACCTACATGACTATGCACTTCCTTACCATGTTCCTGTGGGACCAGGGAGTCAGAATAACTTAGTGGCAATGAGCTCTGGAGGAGAATACAGCAGAATAAAGTGGCCACTGACCCTACACTTAATGCAAACCTACTACCACGGAGTCACCAGTTAACACTCTGCTTCTGTAAAATGGCACCGCCGTTCCCGTTTCCCACACAGTAAGAAGGGGCTCTAGATGGCCAAGAAATCCACCCAGAACATGTCCCTAGAAATGGGGTAGACCACAGGACTATCTGAAACCTGATGACCAATGGTGTGCTTCTTCAGGGGTTACGATGCTGCTGCTGCAGGTCCTAGCTAAAGTGTAGACATAATGAAGGACAAGCACTTTTCAGCTGTGGTCTTATGTTTATCTAGGAAACAGGCCTGCTTGGTGAACTGGGCACAAATTCAACATCAGTGATTCCACTGCAAACAAAGCTGGCAGAGTAAAATCTTCAATTCCTTTCTATGGGTAAGGAATTTTTTGTATAGAACAAGAAAAAAATGTCCTTAAAAAGAGGGTTCTGGGTGGGAAGATGGCTCAGTCAGTGAAATATTGAGATGCAAGCATAGGGACCTGAGTCTGGACCCTAGCACCCACATAAAAAGTGGAATATGGCACAGATTGTCTGTAACCCCAACACCGGGGATAAAAAGACAGAAAGGTCCCTGGGGAGTTGCCAGCTAGCCAGTCTGTCCAACTTGGCAAGCCTCAGGTCTTGAAAGGTATTGAAAGACCCTATCTAAAAACCTGAGGTGAGGAGTCATTCACACAGATACCTGATGCCCTCTGACCTCCACATATACACATGAACACACACACACACTCCCCACAGCTTAGAAAGAATCGCCATGGACTTTCTGACCCCAGGGAGTGACAACTTCTAACAAGTAGCTGACACGCAGATCCATTCTCTTATCTCCTACAGCGACTCATCAAAACCTGGCCTCGAAGATATTCTATTCATGCTGCCGGGACTGTGAGCAAGCTGTCATTGAGAGCTTCAAGACTCCCAGCCAAACCCAAGAGAACCAGCAACCAACCTACAGTAGGTATCAGACAAGAACACCCTGCCTCTTGGCTGGACTATCACCTTCCTCCTGAAATGACCCCCGAGTTCCTTTACATTACCCTCTAGGTTTGTGATTATGATATAGTTATGTCCTTTTCACCTCTCCTTGTTGCCCCATACCCTTCTTGCTCCCTTTCATACCCATGGCCTCCCTTTCATTAACTGTTACATGCATCGAGTATACACATATATATTCCTAAATACATACGTGCAACCTGCTCAGTCTGTATAATGTCACGTGTATGTTTTCGGGGCTGACTGTTTGGTGTTGAATAACCAATCGGTGTGTTCTCTTCCCTGAGGAAGACTGTCTCACCATCTCTCCACATCCCTTGGTCGTCTGCTTTGTATAGAGCTGAGTCTGGGCTCCCACACCCACTGGAACATTTCTGTCGGTGTCTCCCTTGTTCTGCTTGTGTTTGCATAGTCACATTGGAAACTTTATGGATGTAGCTTCTGACTTTATTAAGAGACACAATCGTACAGTCAACTCCACGATCCTCTGGCTCTTATAATCTTTTCACCGTCTCTTCCACATGTTCCCTGGGTTGGGGGTAGGATTTGTAGATATATCCTTCATTTTTTAACTGAAAAAAATTCTGGGCTAAAATGCGATGGAGGACAGGTGGCTAAGCAAAAGAGTCAGGGAGCTCAAGCTTGCTAGCTAGTGTGGCCTGCAGTCTTGCAGCACAGACATCAGCAGGGAGCTTCTTGAAATGCATTTTGGGTGCTGAGGATGTAGCTCAGTTGATAAGAGGGCTCGCTTAGTATGCCTTAAACCTTGAGTCCAATCCTAGCCCCACATTTAAAACAAACAGGGTGTGGCAGAGCCAGGAGAGGAGAGTTTCAAGGTCACTCTCTACTAGTGAGCTGGATGTCAGCTCAGGATATATGAGCTGTCTCAAAATAAGAAGTGCATCTCCAGACCCTGTTACACACCTGTGGAGTCAGAAACTGGATTTTAGCGTGGTCTCCAGGTAAATCTGGATGTGCTTTGCAATTTGAAGAACAAGGCCAAAGACCGTAGGACAATAGTAGCCCCCTGCCTTCAGATCTGACGGGCCCCCTTGAGTTTCAGTTCTGTCACAGAGGTTGAACATGTCACTTAATCCATCTGTACCTCTGCTAGCCTCAGCTAGCCTATTCTGTAAGACGGAAATATTCACAATACACTTGGGGGGCGTGGATGTGTGGGGGAAAGTGATGTAGCAGCTGGGGAAGAAATGGAGCTGCGTGGGTTCAGTAAGACTCAGACAAAGCTTTCTGCTAAGAAGCCTTGCAGTTCTGATGGTCAAAGTCCAGGTCACATCACCGTTCCTTCTCATCTTCATCCTCGGAAACATGAGACCCCCTCGGTTCTGTACAGGAGAATGAGACAGAAACAGAAAAAGTGTCCTGGCCTCCAGTTTGTATCACAGCCTTCTTGATGGCCCAGGACAGAAAAGACAGGGGTCAATATCAACAATTTCAAAGAGAGAAAAGAGTGTTATATTAACAAGATGGGGCAAAACTAAGACTCGCAGGCACAGAGTGCTGGTGGAAATCTATCTATCACCACCCCACAGACAGATGGGACAGGACAAAAGGATGGGGAAAATCCTCATGGCAGGACATACAGAAACCTGGCAGGACATACAGAAAACCATGAGAGCTTTCAAAGGGCTTCTGAAATTAGTTTCACAATAAAAGTGAAGTAAACAATCTTACAAATAAACACCTCTCCCCAAATGGTATCACTGTAATCTTGGATTCCCCTGCACACGTGTAGCATGTAGATCCCCACCGTGCCACAGTGCACATGTGACAAGCACTTCTCAATCTGCACAGTAGCTCTGTGGTGGACACCATTATCCAAAACAAATGCACCATGCTGCAGCATGAGAAGGGGTAGTTTGCTCGAGTTACACATCCAGTGACAAAGCTGTCACACCTGCTCCAGACAGCGTAGCCTGTCTCTGGAGTTCTTTGTCACCATTCTAGAAGTACATAAAGGCTTAAATACAATCCATGTCAGTCTTTGCACTAGTAAAATTAGAAAAAAACGTCTAAACACACAATATCCCATTGGTTAAATAAATCTTGAATTGTTCATAAAAGAGAATACCACACATCTACTGTTTTTTAATGTAGTGACATAGGAAAAATGTTTATACTGCATATGCAAAAAGAGAACCACATACACAGGACACACAATCCCATAAACCATGTTAAAATACGCTTAGGGAAAGATAGTATCTGGGATGAGAAGAGTTGGATCATTTTTCCTTTTTGTAATGGATATACATTGCATTAAAAAATAGAAAAACAGTTGATATTTTTAAATTCAGCACCTGCTTAAAGGAGGAACAGATTCAGATTGAATCCCACAAGATTCAACATTTGCCTATGCGCTGCTTTTTTCAGTTCAATGACTAGCCAAGCCTTCCCACATGACCCCCATGGAATTCTCGTTGTCAGGTTCGCAGTCCCAGAAGAATGAGTTAAACAGACAAAATCCCAAGCACACTAATGCACAGTACCCCACTGGTCAAGAAAGGAGATACTCTTCCAGCAGCAGTGATTTTGAAGGTGAGTCCCAGAGTGAGGTCCTGACACTGGCCTCTGGGAAGGGGGGCTCTGTCCTGATGGCCAGACCCTACAGGCATATGAGCTAGCTGTGTTCACACTCCAGAGGGTGCTGTGGAGAATGCAGTGCCTGAATCTAGCTCCACTACTTCCCAAGTTAGGCATTGCTTTGAAGGAGCTGGTCTGGGAGGACAGGACATTTCACAAACACACACACACACACACAGATACACACACACACACTTTTGGGTACCACAGTGTGGTCCTGAATGTGCATTTTGTGTGACTCTGCCTAAACTCTACTTTGGAGGCTACACACGAAATCACAGACTGGTAAGTCCACACTGGGTTTGTTTTCTGATGTTCTCCCCCAAACCCAGCTAGGCTCATGTCAAATGAGAAATAACTGAAAATGATAATAGGCTGAGCACAGCTCAGTTAGGATGACGTGTTTTTGGGTCAAAGAAGAACAAATGTACCACCTAGTTGAGTAGTACAAACCATGAGAAGAAAGGCAGCTGTGTTGAAGGGAAATTATCCTGTGTCCGGATGGCCTCACACAGCTCCCTATCCCCCAGGGGCCATTGACAAATAAGGATCACTCACACCTCCCCACTGTAGAACCCACCTGTCAGTCATGCCTGGGTTGCAAACTTGAGTCTGTTGAAGGGTAAATTTTCATACAATAACCTACCTGCTCTACTTGAATCAAGAATGGGGAGCTGAGGGGAGCCTCATTGGCTCACCCCACCTCTCCCTAATATTCCATGCCCAGGTAGGCTGAGATCCACACTGGGAAAGGGACTTTGCAGCAGCCTACCTTGAAACATCATCCACATCTAAGCCAGGACGAGCCCAAGTCTCCTGTTTCCTATGTCTTGTGCTTTGCCAGACACTGTGTTGTCAGTGACTCTACCATGCAGAACAAAGCCAGGCGTGCTCCCAGGGAAATCATGGAATCTGGGAACCAGAGGGATACAGGCTCAGCCATCCATTCAGTGTAGCTCAAAGGTCTTCCCCAACAGCGTGCTTTCCTTCTTTCAGAGATGACTGCATACAACATACAAACAGGATACCCTAAAAAACATCTAAACCGCTACTGCCAGGAACACTGGTCCTTCCAGCCGTGCCTCATCGGGAGACCCTGAGGGTTCTAGTGGCAGCATCATCACACGGGTTCTGAGCTGTGCTGCTGCTGGAGGGTCTCCATGAGAATGAGGAGTGCAGTGGACAGGATTCATGAAGACTGATTCGGAAACTCCACCACGGGAGGGGAGAGGTCTGAGCCATCCCTGTGCCACCAGCATGAGTCACTCCAGCGCCTGACACAGCCAGAGGGGGTGGGGGCTGCCTACAATTAAAGTCCTTAGTCGCATCAGAGGACGTGTCCCTCCTGTTTGTCCCTCCCCCATACCTTGTAAGTATCTTATCGGTTCTTACACTATCACTTCTAAATAACCTATAAAAAACTTAACTTTGTGAATAGCTTTTGTAATAATTTCAAATTTACTTAGAAAAGTTGTCTCAATAGAAAATAAAGAGGGGAAAAATGAAAGCAGCTGTTCCGGCGGTGGCATCAGGTACAATAGGCCCTACTTCTGGGCCTGTGTTCCAGTGCCTGGGGATCGCCTGGGAACTGCGCAGAGCTTCCAATCCCGGTGGGAGCCAAACACCCCAGACTCCATGACTTCTCTCCCACCAACGAGACAGGGAAACCAGAGGAGCCAGGGAGAACAGTGGAGCAGCTGTTCCGGCCACAGGATCAGGTATAACAGGATCCAGCAAAGGGTCCAGGGGACCAGGTGGGAGGCTAAGCACCCCAGATTCCTGGTCTTCTTCTCCACCCATGGAACCAGACCAAGGACAAGGAATAGAAGAACCACCAAATTATTGGACTTGCTAGCACCCACCAAAAGGGAACTCTGGTCCCCTAACCACCAGACCAGTAAAGGGCCCTTTCTGCACCCAGTAGAAGAAGAGATAGGAACAAGACAATACAAAAACACAACAACAGAAAAACAAATAGGACACTATCAGATTCTAGAGACTCCACACCAGCAAGACTCCAACATTCCAATGCGAACGAAGCAGAAGAGAATGACCTTAAAACCACTTTCATGAAAATGATAGAGGCCCTAAAAGAGGATATAGGAAAATCCCTCAAAGAAATGGAAGAAAAAACAAACCAAAAAATGCAAGAAATGGAAGAAAAAACATACCAAGAAAGGCAGGAAATGGAAGAAGAAATAAAACAAAAAATGGAAGAAATGGAAGAAAAAAACAAAGCAAAAAATTAAAGAAATGGAAGAAGAAACAAACCAAAAACGGCAGGAAATGGAAGAAGAAACAAAGCAAAAAATGCAAGAAATGGAAGAAAAAGCAAACCAAAAAATGCAAGAAATGGAAGAAAGAACAAACCAAAAAATTCATAAAAGGCAACAAACGGACGAAAAGATAAACCGAAAATTGCAAGAAGCAATGCAAACACTGCAAGGGTTAAAAACTGAAATAGAGACAATAAAAAAAACCACAATCTGAAGAAAGGCAGGGCAAACAGTCAGGTACTACCGATACAAGCATTACCAACAGTATAGAAGAGATGGAAGAGAGAATCTCAAGTGTTGAAGATACACTAGGAGAAATGGATTCATAAACCAAAGAAAACCATAAGTCCAACAAATTTAAACTGAAAAATAAATTTAAAAAGGGGGGGAAAGGGAAAGAAAAACTTTTGATTCACCCGTGTTTTACACATTTCTCCTGTTCACTTTATCATTTTTTAATCTTCTTTCCTGAATGATCTGAGAGTGAGAATCCTGCCCGCTTCCCTAAATCCTTCATAGGGCAATTCTTACAGACAGCGGGCATCCTCCTTTAACTCCAGTAGGTACCAGGATGTTAAGAGAAGCTTTTTCCTTGCTTGCCGATTTGGTTTATCCCCCCGCCAGTCGCCTGGGCTCTGCCGCGCCAGCCTGGTTCTAGATCCGCATGAGTCCCAAATAAACACACAGGAGGCTGTATTAATTATGAAGCTGTTGGCCTTGTTCGTCTCTTACTGGCTAGCTCTGCCTTAAGTAATTACCCCATAATTGTTAATCTAAGTATGTTTCTTACCGGAGAATAGTTCCCGGTGTCCTACTCCCATGGCGTCACATGTTGACTCTCTTGTGTTTCTCCTACCCAGAATCCTCCTGGATTCCTAGCCCCACCTATCTAGATTCCTATTGGCCAGACAGTGCTTTATTAGCATAAGACTTCCCCAACACCAGGAAATGAAACATCTTATACTAAGACAATCCTATTCAAATTCCATCAATTACCCCAAAATGCCTCAGAGCTTTTTCACCCAGTGCCATGGATTCATGCAGTCACCATGAGATTCACACATCGCAAGTGTTCACTTGTCTGGTATTTCCATTGGATCAGAGCCAAGCTTCCCATTTGGGGCAGGAATGGCCCAGAAGGTGTGGTGCCCTCCCTGACGGGTGGTGTCAGGAGGTACAGGGCATACAGGATCCCATGTGAATGAAAATTTAGATTGCTTGCTGAAGGGATTGAGTGCGGAGCTCAGTGACCCCGCGTGTGGACGGCCTGGACTAGATTGCTATTATTACAGAAATAAAAACAAAGGTCACTTGTTGATTCAGTTTCTGCTTTTCCACTTTATTGGTTTGTAATTTTTTTGCCAAAGATTTATTAGTTTGGTTTTGTTATTTTTGTTCTCTAGTGTGGTTTCTGGGTTTCATTATAGGCAATCTTTGTGACTTTGTTGTGTTTGTCTTTTGATTTTCATTCCATTATTTGTTTATTGAGAGAGGGCAGGTCAGAGTGTACAAGTGCAGATCAGAGTGAGTAAAACTTGAATGAACTAGTTACATCCTTCCATGGAGCTCCAGGTGTTGAACTCAGGTCATCAGCCTTACTGGCAATTACCTGTACCTACTGAGCCATCTCAACTGAGTCATGTGCTTTTCCTTTGAATCGGGAATTTATTTCCTTCTTTTCATTTCCTGACACAAGTGTTTAAAGTGTGTGGTGTGAGCAGAATGACCTTTCACCCGAGGATCCCTCTCCTCCATTTCCTGAAGTCTGGGAGCACATTACCTCACACTGTATACAGACAAGCATGCTAATATGTGACTCCAGGTGGAGATAATCCCAGTTATCCAAAGGGCCTCATTCTGTCCATGTAGACCGTCTGTCTTTCTTCCATCCAGTTCTGAGCTTATTCCTGACACAGCACAGAGGCCAAGACAGAACAGGGAAGTGGCAATGGCAGACATGACAGACATTCCCTGGGGGGGGGGGCTACAACAAGAGATCAGACCGGGCCTGGCCCTGTGCCTCAGTTTCCTAATCTGTAACATGAGCACAGCAACAGTGACTACCTGGGGCACAAGGCAACTCTGAGCCTGAATCCCAGTCCCTTCCCTGCCATATCTTTTCGAGTGCACCGTGCTTTGGCTAGCTCAGTCAGGGTGACAGATATCCAACCTAGGACAGGGACACAAGCCATGAAGTGAAAGGCAGCCATGTTAAGGAGTGTCCAAGTGGCCTCACACAGGAAACTGAGCAGGTGGGCCAGTGGCAGGGGCCTCTGAGAGGTCACGTTCTCTCAGAAGAAGGAATTCTAGCTGGACTACTAATCCAAGGACAGGCGATACCCCTTCCCATAACCTAATACATAGTGGGTAGTGGGGAAAACCACTGCAGAAGTCGGCAGGCAGCTCCCCTCCTCCCAGAACTATTGTTCTGTCCAGAACCCATCACCAACATTCCCCAGTTCTCAGTTCTGTGACCTCAGAGGCTCTTATCCACTTGGCCAGCAGCAGATGAGGGAAGCTTAAAGGTGAGACCTCAGAGTGGAGGGGGAAGTCTTTCTGCACTAAAAGGATGACAGAGTCCCCACACTCCTGAACACCAATGTACTTCTGCACTAAAGAATGACAGTGTCCCCACACTCCTGGATACCAATTCACTTCTGCACTAAAAGGATGACAGTGTCCCCACACTCCTGGACACCAATTCACTTCTGCACTAAAAGGATGACAGTGTCCCCACACTCCTGGACACCAATTCACTTCTGCACTAAAGGATGACAGTGTCCCCACACTCCTGGACACCAATTCACTTCTGCACTAAAAGGATGACAGTGTCCCCACACTCCTGGACACCAATTCACTTCTGCACTAAAAGGGTGACAGTGTCCCCACACTCCTGGACACCAATTCACTTGCTATCAACAGCAGTCGATACATCCTTGGCCTCCATCCACTGTTTCTCCTTCTGGCTCCTGGCTCCCCACCTGTGTGATCACCCCCAAAAGGTCCCTCCCAACTCTAGAAGCCTGCTGGATTGACTTCAGTGACCTCATTTCATTGGGGCCAATGTGTTGTAGGGTCTCTAGAAACCTCAGGTTCATAGCCTATTGGAAACAAAAGTTCTCTTTGGTTCCTACATTCATCTAATGGGGGCAAGGGTGATCCAAGCAAACAGCCTATATGTCTCCTGTGTCACCATATTTTGGTGACATAAGCAACCTACAGTATGAATGAGGCCATACTAAGCCTTTAGACCTTCATGCCACAGGACCTCCACATTGGACAGGTTTTACACCACCACTGTACAGACAGATTAGCTGAGCTTCAAGAAGGGAAAAATTGCCCAAGATCGTCTAGCAAGATACTATAGAAATTAAGAACCCACACACATCCACTTAAGTCAAATATGTGTGCTTGACCAAATGTCACTCTGCCCATCTACAGGTGAAGCTAGACATTTAAGACCTCCACCCTCAGCTCACAGAGTACCAGATGGCCCTGAGCACCCTGGAGGGTGAGGCAGTAGACAGCATGGACTCTGGCGTCCCATAACACCACACCAAAGGTGCTAAGCTAGACTAGCTCTGTGGTAGAGGATGTATGTGCAAGCTATTCCTCTGGGCTGCGACACCTGGACCAGTCACATTTCTGAGACTTAGTTCGCTATGACAAAGTGGGACACCACCTTGCCTCATATATCCCGATGAGACAAAAGAACAGGCCTCAGATGCCAAAGGGCCTGCTCTCGATGGCCAATGACGTCAGCACGCCTCACTCTGAGACTGGTTCTCTCCCCATTCACGTGGATGGCAAAGTCCCAAATGAGGCTGTTTTACAGGTAGGGAGTAAAACCCATTGATGGTAGGAGGACTGGGAAGGGTTAAGTGTCACTCAACAGAGAAGCTCCAGGCATTAATTCTACCAACACGCAGGGGACACCCACTCTGCCCTGAGTGACACCTGCTCTGTCAAAGGTGATAGTGATCCATCCTGTCTCTGAAAGCAAAAATGTTGCTCCTGTTCTGGATCCTCAGGATTTCACACAGGGCTTGACACC